CGGTGCCCCTCAGTCCCGACCCGCAGCCCCCTGCTACCCCAGCCCTGGGGTCCCACCCCCAGCTCTGCTGGCTGGTCTCAGAGGGAGGTGCCAGGGCGAGACCCCCCCCAACTCCTACCTGCAGCACCAGGGCCAAGGTGATGCCAGCGCAGCAGAAGCCCATGAAGGAGAAGCCGATGATGATGAGCGGCCGCCGGCCCAGCTTCTCGATGGTGAAGCACTGCAGGGAAAGGCCAGCGGCACGGGGGGCATTAGCAGGAGAGGGCATCAGACCCGCCAGCCCCCAAACCCTCCCCCCACAGGGCACAGAGCGACAACATGTATAGCCAATAACACGCAACACAGGTGTATGACATCACCAGACCCAGTTCTCATTGGCTGACTCAAGAGCTTGAGGGTGAGGGTGGGACACTTACCTGGTAACCTCTAGGACTCCTGGGTTCTTTTCCCTGCCCTGGGAGGTAGGGCAGGCTAGTGGTTAGAGCAGGGAGGCACTGGCGGAGTCAGGACTCCTGGGTTCTTTTCCCTGCCCTGGGAGGGAGGGCAGGCTAGTGGTTAGAGCAGGGGGCACCGGCAGGCTAGGGCCTTGCACGTTGAAAGGGGACAGAAGAGCAGCCGCCCGTCCCCTTCATTCCTGGGCTGGAATCCCAGGGCCCAGGGCCGAAGTGACCCGGAGCAGCGGGGCCAAGCTTGTCCCAGCCAGGCGTGAGCTGCCCCGAGTGCCCAGCGGAGCCAGGCAGCAGCTCTGGGGCGCAGGGCGGGCGCGGGGAGCCCGTGCAGGACCAGGAGCAGGAGGGATATTGACAGCAGAACAAATGCTTGTCATTTTAGACCCAATCTCGGCGCGTCTGTCGGGGGCCGTTTGTGTCTGTGTCGCGGAGCAATTGGCCTGACGGTGCCACCAGCCCTGCTGAGCTCCTGCCCGCCGGCTGGGCTGCCGGGGCGCCAGAGGTGCCTGCTTGCGGCTGGGAGGCCGGGGGCTGGGGTCCCTGCTCGCCCAGGCCAGGCCACGTGGGGGCCGCCCGCCTGTCGAATCGAGCGCCCAGGGGCCGAGGGCTGCAAATCCGCCCAGCGTGAGGCCGGGGTGGGGCCGGGGGCGGGGAGCTGCTAGCTCCGGCTGGGCACTGAGGGGAAAAGCCGTAAACCAGCCCCCGTGCCCCCCCCCCCCAGCGACAGGCTCGGCTCACAGGGGTTATTATGGGCTGTTCCACTGAAGTCAGGATAGCCAGTATGAGCCCTTGGGACCCCTTTCCCCAGCACCCCCACCCACCTCCACCTCACCCACTGTGACCCCTCCCCCCACCGGCACCCCCATCTCACCCACTATGACACCTCCCACCTGCACCCCCTGCCACCCCATCTCCCCCAGTACCACCTCCTGTCTCCCAACTCACCTCCTGTGACCCCTCCCGCATGCCCCAGCCCAGCCAGCATGACCCCTCCCCAACCCCGGTTAGCACTGCTCAGTGGGGTCATGCCCCCCCCCACGTCGCTGGGGCTGTGGCAGCACTCACGCCGAGCAGGCCGGCCAGCACCTCGATGGCGCCCGTGCCCACGGTGGTGTAGGGGATCTCGGGTCCCGGGATGCCGGCGTGCTGGAAGATGGTGTTGGTGTAGAACCAGATCTGCCAAGGGGGGGGGAGAGCAGGGGGTGAGCGGCAGGGCTGGGGGGGGAGAGAGGCCCCCACGAGAACCTGGAACCACAAGCAGGGGGGGGACACCCCTGGGGGCTCTGGCCATGGCACTGCGGGAGCCCCCCGGTCGCTGGTTCAAAGCCTGCCCCGGGATGGGACTGAAGGCTGTTCCGGCCCAGGGGCGCTCGCTGGCTCTGGAGTGAGACGAGCTGGGGGGGGCTCAGCCTAGCTCCTTCTGGGCCAGGGTCCCCCTTGCAGGGACCTGCTGCATGATCAGCACGGCTATTTCCCTGTGAGGCCAATGGGCCAACGGGCCAGGAGGCTCTTGGAAGACAGGAGCCCCTCCAGGGCACAGGGTGAGCTCCCCTCCGGTGCAGGAGGGGTGAGGGGCTGAGGGGAGCTCCCCTCCAGGGCAGGAGGTGCGGGGGGGACGACACTGGGGGAGCTCCCCTCTGGGCAGGCGAGTGGGGGGCTGAGGGAGCTCCCCTCTGGGGCAGGAGGTGCGGGGGGGGACTGGGGGAGCTCCCCTCTGGGGCATGGGCCTGGCAGCACTCACCGCATCGATCCCAGAGAGCTGCATGCCCATGTTGATCACCACCACGGAGAGCGTCTGCCAGCGCACGGAGCCGTCCCGCAGCAGCTGCCAGACGGAGATGGTCTCCAGGGAGGAGAGCGAGCGCTGCTCCTCCCGCATCTCCTCCAGCACGTCCCGCACGTCGTCCTTCCCCAGGAACCAGCGCAGCGCTGGGGAGAGTGGAGCGAAGCTCGGGCACGGGGCTGGGACTCTGGAGATCTGGGCTCAATTCCCAGCTGTGCGCCCCTGGGCCTCAGCTCCCCTCTGTACTGGCCCTGCCCTGCCCCATCGGGGGGGCGAGGCTAGAGCCAGGAGGATGGGAGGCGCCCAGACGCTACGGTGATGGGCCCTTGGAAAACCTGGAGCGGTCAGCAGGCAGCAGCCTTCCCGGGAGGGGCCAGGCAGCGCTCCGGGCGGAGTCAACAGAGCTGCAGCTGATTTGCGCCAGCACAGAATCTGGCCCAGGGGGCTCTTGGGCCTGCAGCTGGAGGATCGTGTCTCTTTGGGATTCGGGACAGGGTAGGACACAGAAAGACACTAATCCCCCCTCCCCCGGTTCCGGGAGCAGCCTGGCCCTATGGGAGACATCAGCCACCCCCCTGCCAGGGGCTCCGCTCACCATCCGTGGCCCCCCGGACGTTATTCTTCTCAATCAGCAGGTAGCGGGGGCTCTCGGGGAACCAGTGCAGCAGCAGGAGCTGCAGGGAGGCTGGAATGACCACCAGGGACAGGAAGAGAGGCCAGTATCCGTCCTGCAACGAGCCAGGCAGGGCGATGGGGTCTGAGGGGGCGGCGAGGGGGTAGCCCTAGCACCAGCGGGATAAGCAAAGCCAAGGAGACGCAGGCTGGATATCGGGAGCCAGCTGCCGGCTGGGCCATGGCATGGGGATGGGGAGCCCAAGGGCAGGAAGGGACCTCGAGAGGTCGTCCAGGCCGACGCCCTGCGCTCAGGCAGGACCAAGTCAACCCAGACCACCCCTGAGGGGCGTTTGTCCAATCTCCTTCCTAGACCCCCCCAGTGATGGGACTTCACAACCTCCCTCGGGTGCCTATTCCAGAGCTTAACTACCTGAGAGTTGGAAAGTTTCCCCCTGGTCTCCAGACTACACAGGCCCAGTTCTTTAACCTTTCCTCATTAATGATCTGGATGATGGGATGGATTGCACCCTCAGCAAGTTCGCAGATGACACTAAGTTGGGGGGAGAGGTAGATACGCTGGAGGGTAGGGATAGGGTCCAGAGTGACTTAGACAAATTAGAGGATTGGGCCAAAAGAAACCTGATGTGGTTCAACAAGGACAAGTGCAGAGTCCTGCAGTTAGGATGGAAGAATCCCATGCACTGCTACAGACTAGGGACCGACTGGCTAAGCAGCAGTTCTGCGGAAAAGGACCTGGGGATTACAGTGGACGGGAAGCTGGATATGAGTCAGCAGTGTGCCCTTGTTGCCAAGAAGGTTAACGACATATTGGGCTGTATTTGTAGGAGCATTGCCAGCAGATCGAGGGAAGTGATTATTCCCCTCTATCTGACACTGGTGAGGCCACACCTGGAGTATTGCATCCAGTTGTGGGCCCCCTCTATAGAAGGGATGTGGACAAATTGGAGAGAGTCCAGTGGAGGGCAATGAAAATGATTAGGGGGCTGGGGCACATGACTTATGAGGAGAGGCTGAGGGAACTGGGCTTGTTTAGTCTGCAGAAGAGAAGAATGAGGGGGGGGATTTGATAGCAGCCTTCAACTACCTGACGGGGGGTTCCAAAGAGGATGGAGCTCGGCTGTTCTCAGTGATGGCAGATGACAGAACAAGGAGCAATGGTCTCAAGTTGCAGTGGGGGAGGTCTAGGTTGGATATTAGGAAACACTGTTTCACAAGGAGGGTGGTGAAGCACTGGAATGGGTTCCCTAGGGAGGTGGTGGAATCTCCTTCCTTAGAGGTTTTGAAGGCCCGGCTTGACAAAGCCCTGGCTGGGATGATTTAGTTGGGGTTGGTTCTGCTTTGAGCAGGGGGTGGGACTAGAACCTCCCGAGGTCCCTTCCAACCCTGATATTCTATGATTCTAATCTCTAACCTAAATCTCCCCTGCTGCGGATTAAGCCCATTGCTTCTTGTCCTGCCTTCAATGGACATGGAGAACAATTGATCCCCGTCTCTTGGTACCAGCCCTTCACAGCTGTGCAGGCTGTTCTCACGTCCCCCTCAGCCCTCTTGTCTCCAGACTACACTTGTCCCGTGTTTTAACCTTTCCTCAGAGGACAGCGTTTCCAAACCTCTGATCCTTTCTGCTGCTCTCCGCTGGACTCCCCGTCTTTCCTAAAGTGCGGCACCCAGAACCGGATATCGGACTCCGGCCGGGTCGGACGTACGGCCCTCCGGTTAATGCTCCCGGCCTGATATTAGCCACTGTAACCCTGAGATCCTTGCCACAGCAGCCCGGCCGCCGAGCCAAGCGGTCCCCGTTCCTAGCTGTGCATTTGATTTCCTCCCCCCAAGCGTAGCGCTTTGCACAGCGGACACGGGACCCTGGAGAACCCCAGGAGACGCCCCCAGCCCTCGCCCCCCTCCCGCGGGGTCGGAGCTCACTGGGAGCAGGCTGGGAGGAAGCAGCAGCGTTTCAGGGGTGTTTCAGCAGCACCGACCTCCCCCAGCAGCTCCGGCAGGCCCAGGACTTGAGCGGAGAAGACCCCCAGGCAGATGAAGATGCTGGGCACCAAGCCCAGGAACCCGCGCAGGTTCTTGGGGGCGATTTCTCCCAGGTACATGGGCACCACGCTGAGACAGATGCCTGGGGTGGAGGAGGAGACACGCGGGATGTGGGGGAGGGGGGAGAGAGAACCGGAGTCACATTGGGCAATAGGCAGGATCCCCCCTAGACTGGGCCGGAGGGGGAGCTCCCAGGGCAGGCTCCAGCCAAGCTCTCCTCCTCCCAGAATGCCCTGGGGTTGGCTGCTCAATCCCGAGACACCCCACTTTGATCCCCAAGAGGGCCCCAGCGATGGGCGTGGCCCCAGCGGGTCCGTCCTCCCCCCCCGTCCTGTCCGTGCTGCAGCAGCCCAACCCCACGCGGGACAGAGCCGTGGCCCCATGCACGTCTGGGCTGGCGCCTGCGGTTCCCGTTCCTGCCGCAGAGGGAGATGCAAACCCGCCCTGCGAGGGGTGCGGCAGGGCCAGCGCCCAGGTGAGTATGGCCGGGTGCCAGAGCCAGGCAGAGCCCCGGGGCAGGCGGTGGGGCAGCCCACGCAGGGCGCTACCTGAATGCAGCCCCGTGACGAAGCGGCCGACGATGACCATCTCGGGCGACGCCAGGTAGCGGCTGAAGCCCATCAGGGCGCTGGCCAGGAAGACGAGCAGCGTGCTCCGCACAAGGGTGCCGTTCCTAGCAGGGGGGACAGGCAGGACATCAGCCCTCCGCCTGGCACGGGCCCCTCCCTTCTGCAGGGCGTGACGCCCCCCGCAGGACGCTTCGTGCTCTCTCTTCCTCCACCCACCCAGCTGTTCCCCTCTCTTCTCCATCCCAGCCCCATGGGGAGCTTGGGGGGGCATTCCTGGCAGCTCTCCCTGCCCCCATAAGAGTGGGGCATGTGTCAGGCTGGCTTCTCCTCTCCCTCCCTGCTGGCTTCGTTTGCTGGGTGTCCCCCTGCTCCATCTGGTCTAGAGGCGGGCACCCCATGACTGGCGCCGGGGCAGACAAAGCACCATCCTCCCCCTGCTTCCTCTAGCCGGGCTATGGGTGCACCCCCATCCTGCCCCCCTCCCGCACCCGTCTTACCTCCCATATCGAGTCACGAGCATCCCCACCGGAAACGAGCCCACCAGCCCCCCCAGGGCAAAGACCGAGACGGTCAGCGAGTACATGACGGTGAGCAGGTCCTGGCTCGGGCTCTGCCCGTAGCGCTGGGACCAGGTGGCGTTGTAGAAGGCCTTGATGTGCTGCAAGGCAGAGAGACAGGGGCTAGCAGAACGGGGTGCCCACGGCCCACCAGACCCGCCAGCTGCTTGGATTCCCGGCCCTCCGAGGTCTTTGTATGTGTCTGTAACACACCCAGCTCCTGATCGTTTCAGCGCTTCCTCTCCCAACACCTCAGAGAGCCGGTCCCGCTTCCCCGCACCCAGGAGTGGCTTGAAATGCTGGACTTGGTGGGGCGGGAAGTCCCAACATTTCAAACTTCGCTTCCGTTCCGAACCGGGAACGAAAACGGCCACTTTCAAAACGTCCCGCGCCAGGGACTTCTGGGAAATACGGCGTTTCGGGTCCGTCGAAACCTCCCATTTCAGCAACGCTGCCGAGTTCTTTTATATTGTCCACAACCACGTGGGATTTCAAACCAAAGTGCTGTTTCCAGATGACCAATGGAACGGGCCGTTCCGGCGAGGTCAAAGCAAACAGTCCGACACGGTGTTTTCCCCAATGAAACATCGTCAAAAAGGACACGTTTCCCGGGGAAGTTTAGATTTCAACAAAACGGCAAAAACGTTCTCCTGGGAAATCTTCAACCCGTTCTGCCTCTCCCTGTGCCGGGGATCCGGGTTTCCAGGCCCCCCGATCGCACGCCACAAAGCTTTGTGATCCGACCCGTTAGCACCAGCACAAGAACTTCCCAAAGGTCATTTGTATGGGGTGGCTCTTCCTTCTGCGTCAGCACTGAGCCATGGTGCTAGGGGCGCTGTGGGGGTGGGTCAGATATTGGTCAGTAACGATCCCATGGGGCGTTTCGTCAGAGTCGGGGTGTGAGCAGGGCATCCTCCCGGCTCAGGTGATCCCATCCTGATCCCCTCATTCCCCCCTGCAGCGTCACCCGGATGCTGCCTCTCTTTTCCCGCTCCTAGGCCTGCTGCTCAACACCCCAGAGGTGGCCGCACCCCGGTCAGTAAAATTCATCTGCCTGCCAGAGACCCGCTGGGTCAAGGTATCTGCCTAGCCTAGGATTTCCCAGTCCGGGGAGGGAGCGACTTTCCCCCGCAAAGACAGACAGACGGACGGACACAGCTCTTACCACGGCCGGCGAGTTCACCACTGCCAGGTTGTAGCCGTAAAGCAGAGAGGAGCCGAAGGACGCCAGCAGGGTGGCGGCGAGCAGCGGAAAGGTGAGGTGCTGGGAGAGAGGAGACACACGAGCAGAACGGTGTCAGTGCAGCCCCGGCAGGACGGGGAAGACAGTGGAGCCATGAGCCGCTCCCTCCGCCCCGGGGAGCTGCGCCCAGCCTCTCAAGTGAGATGAGCCGCAGGGGTCTCATCTCTCCACCCGTTTGTGCCCAGCACAGGAGCTCCTGCCTGCAGGATGGGGGGCACCTGGCTCCCGCTCAGCCCAGGGGAAGGGCAGCGAGGAGGAGAGGGAAGCGGCTGGAGCTCCAACCCCACCACCAGTCGAGCGTCTCTGGCCACAGGTCACCCAGGTGGGACACGCAGCTGGCCCCAGCGGTGAAAACCGGATGCTCCCATGCACCCAACGCGGCTCCAGCCTCCACTGCCCCCGCTACCCAGGCAGCCCCATGGCACCCAGCCCAGCAAGCTCCCCTGCCCCATAAGCTCACTCCCGGGTCCCATGCGAGGCTCTGGGCTTGGTCTAGCAGGCCCGTCGTGGGCTGGGCTATCTCAGGGACTCTAGTAACGGAGTTGTCAGCGGCGCTACACTGTTCAGCCACGGGCTGGCGCCGTGTGTGACGTACGTGGTGGCGGAGCCGGGGCGGGCCCAGGCTATTAGAGAGACAAACGCGTCTCCCTCACCCACAGACGTCGGTACAATAAAAGATATTCCCTCCCCCCACCGTGTCTCCTCATAGCTTCTCTGAGCACGTAACAGCTCGCCCTGGCACGGCATGAAAGAACCCGGCATCTCTCTCTGGGATGGAAGCCCAATCATCAGGTGTCCAGCCAGGGCAGATGGGAGGCGAGCGGCGCCAGTGCCGTAGCCAGTGGGAGATGCTAGGCCGGATGGGCACTGCCAGGGAAAGGCCTGGCCATTGACGTGTTTGATGTAATAGAAAAGGGAGATCCCTGTGGAGAGACGCCAGGTGAGGGGTGACCCGGTCAAAGCGCCGTGCTGGGAGTGTGATCTTTGCAGCAGTGGTTTGAACGAATCCAAGGGGGCAAGAGGGCGCTGGGCCAGGCCAGAGAGACGGCTGGGGCAAGAATCGAGCCCCGAGAGGAGGAGAACCCGGCCAAGCGTTTCGCTGTGTGGACGGCTGGGCAGGGCCGTATCTTGGAGATATTCTGCAGAAAGAATCAGCGAGGCCTAGCCAAAGCCTGGGTCTGAGGACATAGGGACTGGTCTAGTCTGAATGTGTCTAAGCTTCAACTTCCAGCCATTGGATCGTGTTAGCACCGTCACCCTCACCTAGTCCCTCTCCCGTTCAGCGCCATCCCACCGCTGCCACCACGCTGGCCCTTCCATGCCCCCCTGCCAGGGGAGTGCAGCTGCAGCCCACCCCGCACATGCCACCTAGCACAAGCCGGTTCTGTTCTGCGATGGGAGCCGGGCAGCTTCCAAACCCTGGCGCTTACGCACTCAGAGCCACCGGCTCTTCTAAGTGGGGCTGTTTCTGCAGACGCCCCATTTGCCTTCTGAGGGGCTTTGCAGACAAATCTCCCCAGCGAGCGCACTGGCCGGCCTAGCCCTGGAAAACCGGCACCGAGGGGCTTTGTTTGGACGCGCGGCTGGATAATCGCAGCGCATGCCCTACGGCCTCTGCCCGTCTCTCAGCTTCTCCACCTAGACCGGGGGCTCTCAACCTATTTACCATTGTGGGCCGCATCCAGTACCAGCCGTACGGCCCTGAGGATGTCATACGGGCCACAAACAGCCCACGGGCCACAGGTTGAGAACCACTGACTGGGCAGCGCCCACTGGCCTTTCTGCCCGAAAACGCAGCCTCTCTCCCAGTCTCTCTCTCGCTGGGCATTTTCCAGACCCCCCCGTCTCTCTGCATCGGTTATAAAACTCCACGGCTCTGCAGCCTTCCCGCGGGGGGTGGGGGTGGGGGGAGAGGAGAACTGGGCCTGGATCAGCAGCGCCTCCCTCTGGCCCTTTGTGGAGAAGCCCAAAAGTTGGGGCTGGGGCAGGGGTCCCTTGTCTAACTCGGCCTGGCTGAAGGGTGGGAGATGCCAAGGGGGCTGGGGGAGGGGGAAGGTGCAGAGAGGGGGAGGGGTGGGGAAGGGGGAGCAAGTTCCTTTAGCCGTCACTTTTAACCCCGTCGCCCCAGTTCTAGCCAGGCCTGTCTCCAAGTCCCAGCAGCTAGGCGGTGTGACCGGGGACCACGCCGACCCTGGGCAGTGCCCCGCTTCAGACGGCGGCTGGGGGCTCGGGGAGGGGGGGAGGGGTCCCTTTGGAACCAGCCGAGATGGGGGGTTTGCTCGCTGCTCCCCAATGAGGCCATGCAGAACCGGGGAGCGGGGGGTAGTAATACAGGGTTTGTTCCCAAGTTGGGTGAGATTGGGGGTCCCCACCGGCTGCGCCTCGCTTTTCTGGGGACCCTCCCGGCATGGGCCTGCAGCACCCCCAGCCCAGCCCATGCCAGGCCTGACACAGCCCTCGCCTGCCTGGGAGGCTCCTACGCAAAGCTGTCTATTGATCCCCGGGCAGCGGCTTCTCCTTAGTGTAACTGCTTCCTGAGCGCGAGCGAAACCCCCCCCCCCCGGGAGACAGCTCAGTGTCGGCCCTGGCTCCTAGCCAGGGACATCACAGGACAGAGCAGTGCTGGGTCTGCCCCAGCATTGCACAGAGAGTCCACCGCAAAGACGGGACTGGAACACCACTCCCTTCCCAGAGCTGGGATAGAACCCAGGAGTCCTGGCCCCCAGCCCCTCTGCTATAACTACTAGACACCACTCCCTTCCCAGAGCTGGGATAGAACCCAGGAGTCCTGGCTCCCAGCACCCCCGCTCTAACCACTAGGAACTACACCCCTCCCAGAGCTGGGATAGAACCCAGGAGTTCTGTCTCCCAGCCCTCCTCCCCCCCGCTCTAACCACTAGACACCACTCCCTTCCCAGAGCTGGGAGCGAACCCAGGAGTCCTGGCTGCCTGCGCCCCCGCTCTAACCACTAGACCCTGCTCCCTTACCAGAGCCAGGCTAGAACCCAGAGTCCTGACAAATTGAGATCTCTCCCCCCCACCCCCTCTTGGACCCATACCCCCCAAACCCTCAAAGCAGCCGGCCGGGGGGTTATGCCAGCAAAGCAGCCGACGCCCCTGCGCTGCCCCGGCCCCGGGAACGGTGGCTTGTCCCAGTCGCGTGCAGGTCTAATCCCCCTAATCCCGCCCGGAATGCCAGCCGGCGCAGCGAGCCTGGCGGGGAGGCAGCGGGCGGGCTGGGGCGAAGGAGGGAAGCCGGGGGCACAGGATCCCCCGAGTCACTCACCCCGGTGATCCGTTGGTGGCCGTGCAGACCAGGTTTCCCCTCCATCGGGGCGATGCGGGCCCTAGAGAGGCAGAGGATGGGGAGGCAGCGGGGAGGAAGGCCGCCTGACTCCAGCACTCTCGCTCATTTCAGCACTTACTTTATTTGATTTTTTTTTTTTTAAAGCAGGGAGGAAAAATCGGGGGGGTGGGAGTGGGGATCACGCGATGCCCGCGAGGCCATTGGAGGATTCCTGGCCAGGGAGAGGTGGGCCCCGGGGCTTCCCCGCTTGATGGACGGGCAGAAGAGGCCGGAGGCCTTGTGGGGCGAGGCGGGGCACGGTGCCCTCGGTTCAGCCCTGCGGGGCAGGAGGGAATCACATGACGGCTAACGCGATTTGCTTTGCCTTTCGAGTGGAGGGAGATGCTGCAGCCCCTTAGTGGGAGGGGCCGGACCCTTCCACGTTTAACCCCCTGGGCACCGGGGCAGCCCGGGGAGATCTGCCCTGGCGAACGTCACCGGCCCCCACCGGCTTCTTCAGCAGCTCGTTGGGTGCCCCCGGCTGAGGCCCCGTAAAAGGCCCCGGGCTGAAGTAGTTGCCTGTGGATCGTGCCCTGGATTGCAAGCAGCGGGAGGAGGGGTGGGAGCAGGATCACAGGCGACCAGGGGCCCGGTTCGATTCGAGAGGAGCCACGGCGGGAGGCGTCTGGGTCCGGGCTCAGCGGTGCCATGTGTCCAGCGAGACCCGCCTGCCCCCTTGACCTGTGCCCAAACCAGGAAATCACGGCGGCGTTTCTCAGCCCAAACCCAACGGCCTCCTCTGCCACGCTGGGCGGGGGCTTGGGCTGACGGCTCACCCGCTGGGCTGGGGCGAGCCAAACCTGGCACCCCCTCAGCACCACCCCACCTGCCATCGGGTGACGGCCAGCTTTTCCTCCACCGCTCAGCGAGGGGGCGCGTGGCTGCCGGGCAGCCGTATCCAGGCCACGAACGGCGGCATCAAACCGTTGACAAGTATCGCCAGCATCCTGATCAGGAGACGAGTTACCTGTTGGGGCATCTGCACGTGTCCGTTGCTCGTCAAGCCAAGCTCCCGCGGGACCGCCGTGGAATGGTAGCGGTCCTTATAGGGCACGTCTACACTGGAGTCACATTGGGAGTCACTCCTCCCAGCTCGTGTAGACGTCCCCCCACCTGTTCTGCTCGAACTAGCTGCTCCGTTGACTTCCTGCCTCCCAAACCAACCTACCGCAGCCCCTTGCAGGACGAAGGCAATCCGGGGCACTCGCGCAAACGCCCCCCCTCTCCAGCTTCATCACTGCAGCGGGGGGGGGGGCGGCCGCCGTACGCTCCCGGCTGTCGTTTGTTACCAGGCGGCTTCGCCATTTGTCCCGAGAGCCACACACGACTGCGACATGGTCAATGTGCTGGGCACCTGGGTGTTGTGTTACAATTGCCTCTGTGCTTGTTACTAACGAATCTCTCCCAGGTGCTACTCTGGCCCCCATCCCCGCAGGATCCGAGCACCCGCCACCGCCCGTCTATCTATCTCCCGCCGCCAAGCAGGGCTGTTACCCCCGCGGCACAGCTGGGGGATTGAGGCACAGAGATTCAGAGGGCTGGGCTCCGGAGGGAAATTTACCAGCAGAATTCGACTAGTGTAAGAGTTACGCTGCTTTGACTCCCCGTGCAGCTTTCTGGTTTCACTCGGGTCTCTGGACCACGCCGGGAGAAGCCAGGCTCGCCCCAGAAGCAGAGGCCTGACCCGGGGCGGTACCAATAGAGTTATAGTGCTGTCATTTAAGGCCGTATAATTCTGCTGCTGTTTTCCCATGGAGACAAGCCCGACGTGGCTTGGGTCACGCGGGGACTTGGTGACAGAGCAAGGAAGTGAACATGGGTCTCTCAGACCCCAGGCTCAGGCCTGAGCCATCCTCCCTTTCCCAAGCTGGGCTCCGGCGTTTACCCAGCTGTGGCTCATTTGTAATCCGCTGCCGTTGCCTCTGCCGTGTCCCTGCCCTTTAACGCTCGCGTTGGGGAAGCAAAGTTTGTCATTCGCTCGGCCAGTCTCTTCGCAGGTCCGGGTTGCTCCTCGCCCTAGCCCTGGTTCTCTGTTCTGCCCCAAGCAATGCCCGTTCCACGGTGCCCGAATCCCCCCGACTCGGCTTCACATCTTGGGGCTGCAAGCGACACGCTGCTCAACGCTTTCCCCCGGCAGCTGGTGCCTTTCGCTGCAGGGCTGGGGTGGGGAGGGGGCAGGTTCTCCACTGAAACCGCGCAAGGAGGGTGGGTTAAACCACAGCTTCACCCCGTCACGAGGGGCTCATGACCGGGGGTGCCAACCTCAGGGGAGACTGTCAAGAAGCAGGGCAGACACCCCAAACTGGCAGTATGGTCTGTAATTAGATTTCCCCAACCCAGTAGCGAAGGTGAACTCCAGAAGCGCTCGGAGTCTCACCATGGAGTCCCAGACAGTCCCCTCGGGCACTCCAGTCTATCTTGCCACCCAGGCAAGCTGGACTAAGTGATACACGGTCACTTACACCAAAGATTCAGGTTGCTTCCAGTCCCAAGAGAGCAGTCACGTACCCCAGGTCAGCGTGTACCTCAGATCTCACACCAAAGACAGAGCTTGTAGCCAGCCCGATAGTAAACGAACGAAGGGTTTATTAATTAGGAAAAGGAAATGTGAGTGTTATTTACAGGTTAAAGCAGGCAACATGTACACACAAAGGAGTTCTGGTCTATGGTTTCAAAAGGCGACAATCTGCCAGCACCGAACGTCTTTCAGGGCTAACCCAGGCTGTCCTGGGGATCTCTGCTTCTATTTCCTAGCTCCAGCCCTGGGAGAGTCCGAACAGCAATAGATGGACAATTTTCTTGTCCACTTCGTTCCTTCCTTCCAGAATTCAAGCTGATGGGATGAGCCCTTTTGCACGTAGCCTCTTCATGGGTGTGGCAGGACAATCAACAAAGTGGCCGTATTGCGATGTCCCACCACGGCCCGTTGAGTTGTGATCGGCCTGCTTGACGGGCAGGAGACGATCCCTCCGGGTGGGGTTCGCGGTTTCAGAGCAAACATTTTTTTCCAGTCCCAAAGCAAACACTGGACTCTGACCGTGGAGCAGGTGATGAAGATCGTAGCCGTGGGATCCATGCAGGCAGCAATGCACAAAGTCTGAACACCCAACACGTAGCTAGAAATCCAACACCCGCCTTACCCAGACTAACACCCGGGTGAGCGGCTCTGGTTTCCAGCAATGAGTTTGTCAGTGCTCAGCTTCAGCCTACAGCCTTGGTAAGAGCTGGCACCTGGTCTGCCAGCGTCACGGCCCCTAATTACCGTCATCCCCCGGCTCATCCCTGCCCCCTCCTTACTGTCCTGGACTCTCTGCTCCCAGCTCCGCACAGAAACTGCCCCCCCCCAGCAGCACCCAGTTACCCACCTGCCCCCTCCTCCACGGCCAGGAGAGCCCTGGATCTCCCGGGAGCCCTGCCCGCCGGCGTCTCTCCTTGGTGCAGGCGGGATACACAGCTCTCTGCTGGCTCCAGGGGCACCGCTGGCAGCAGCTCCGCCAAGCGGTAACTACGGCAAGCGGGTGAAGGTAGCAGGTGCGCGAGGCCCGAGCCCCTCCTCCGTGCTCCCCACCCCAGCTCCCGGGCAGCTGCGGGGCTCGGCCCGGCTCCCTGGCAATCCTGCTGCAGGACCGGGGGGGTGGCAGCGATGGAACCGGGGGGGAAATGCGGTTCCAGCATCTCCTGCCCCCCCCAGCACCTCCATCGCCAACCAAGGAGCGACAGGGACTACAGAGGAGGAGCTGGGCCCCCTGCTTGGGCCTGGCGGGGGCCGGAAGCGGCGGTAGCCAGGCCGGGGGGGGGGGGGGGGGGGCGCAGGACTGTGTGTCCTTGTGACTCGGGTCTTCCCTTGGGGGCATTTTGTCCTGGCCGGCGGGGACGGCAGCCCGAGGAGATGCCCCCAGGACGTGGCCTGGGGCTGGGACCAACAGGAACCGAGCTCAGAAGGGCCCCAGGCAGAGCCCAGGCCCGGGCCCGCTCCGGCTGGGGTTCGGCACGGCCGCTCCCCACCGCCCAGGGAGGGGAGAGGAGGCGCGTGGGGCTCAGAGGAATCCAATTTCCTGGTGGCAGCAGCAGCCGCAGCCAGGAGCCGCCTCCCCCGCTGCTAATGAAGTGTCTTTAATTAGCAGCCTCATCAAAATCGCTTCATTTGCAAACCGCCCCTCCAAAGGACGGGGACCCCACTACGCCAGTGGCAGCCGCAGCTCCGCGGGCTTAAAAGGGACAGGCCCGGCTGGGCTGGCCCCACCGCCTGCGCTCCCTGGGAGTGAGAGGGCGAAAACCCTGCTGGGCCCAGGCCTGTCCCCTGCCCCGGGCAGCCGGGGTCCGACCCTCTTCTCCGCCTCTGCCTTCTAGCCCAGCCGGTGCAGCCACCGGTGGGAGGACACGGCCCCTAGGGAAGCCAGCCCAGGGCAGGCTGGGAGGGGTGTTTGGGGAGTGCTGGGGGGGGGGACATGCAGGGCAGACAATGTCTCAGTTCCATGCCTGGCTATGGGGGTTCCCAGCCACCTGCAACGGACCCCTCCCCCATACCCTACACACCAGCTCCAGGACTCTGTCTAGCCTGGAGGGGCACCGTCCGAGCTGGAGGGCAGGGCAGGATTGAGGGGCACCGGCAGAGAGGGGACGGGGGGCAGGGGGCTGCGGGTCGGGATTGAGGGGCACCGGCAGAGAGGGGACGGGGGGCAGGGGGTCGGGATTGAAGGGTTCAGGCCCCAGAGCAATCCAAACGAGTTCCAGCCTCTGACCTCCTGTGATGGATACACCCGCCCCGCACCTCGGAGCCTATCCAATTCCAAAGTGGCCGATTCCCCGTGTAAACAAGGTGCTGCACAGGGAGCCGCCGCTGGACCCTCCTGCTCCACCTGCTGCTGGGCAGTGCGGGGTCGTGCCTGAGCCCAGCTGGCCATCAGCAGGATTCTTGCCTAAAGACAGCGGACGGGGAGGCCGGACGCCTGGGTTCCACGCCCAGTCCTGTAGTGCTCAGGCCC